TTGTGCTGTCATACCACTGTGGCGATAAAATATTATTCCCGCATGGACAACTTTGAACGAACAACACTGACGATATTTTACGGCAATCTGGATAATTTTTGTTCTAAAATCATTAACATAACATCTTTTACCCACGGTGGAGCGACCAGCTTGGTAAAACTTCGCAAAGTATCTCAAATTCGGGAAAATTCACCTTGGTTCACGTTGTTCGCCATACATTTCTATGTAGTATTTAAAACACGAGAAGGAGTGTTTTAGATATGATAAAACACGAGTTCGAGTGATTTGAATAGCTTAAAATACGACTACAATAGAATGTTAATTAGGATGAACAATTATACATAATCATACTAATTAGGATGAATAATTATATAAAGAATACTAATGAAGATGAGTTTTATCAGATATAAAGTCACTCCACGTGACATATTATGGCCGACATGATTTGCCACAAGTTTTATGAATTGTTAATGAGTATTTTAAAGTAATTTGTATCTCTCCGTGGTCCCCGGAAGTGATTTTCGCATATATAATTTGGTTTCACTTTTCACACCTACAATCGTCCACAAAATATATATCCCCTCCCCCCTTATTTCAATGTTGAAACCTGCTGTACTTATCCAAAACGAACATAAGGTGACACTAGAACCGCAACTGTGTCACTGGCAGTTGAAATTTAACATATGATGTTGGATTTAAACTATATTCTAGTGCCTAACAACTTTGAAATCGGAAGAGGGGGTTTGTCTCAAATATTCTGTGGACGATTGTCTGAAAATTGTGGAAAATCGAACACAGGTTTTGGCCATTTAATCAATAACATTTACTTTGCTAGCGCTTATGTTAATGTGTACGAATAAAATTTGCATAACATATTTGGACTACATAGTATACATGCCAATATACATACATGTATTATATTATGCGATAGTTTGTCCAGGTTAAGTTAAAATCCATACCTTACTGGCATCTAACATTCCTTCGCAAGCTTGCCTTCGATTTCGAAAAAATATATCGATAATGAAGAATGAATAATGAATAACACGCAATCCATCACAAATCAAGATTATTCTATTTTATAAAGTACTATGTAAATTCAAGGACAACGACAACATGTAAACAACCTAGTTCTCAAACTGGAAATTAGCCATTCGGATTAGTTCAATTAATCTATACGCATGGGCTACCTGTTTTCCCTCCAAATTCAAATTTTAACAACGCGTTACCACGCCGTGACCACGCGTTACCATACGTGTTACCATACGTGTTACCATACGTGTTACCACTAATATCAAATAGTTATTATTGCTACAATATAACTTCCGCAATAAAAGTTCATTTCTAACGGTTCAAAACTACAAGATCAATATGCAAGCAATGATTAACAACGCGTTACAACGAGTTGCGCACGTGTTACCACACATTACCATCTTTTAAAAAAACTACTATATACATTTTAATAAAAACTTGACGGTAACGCGTGGTAACTCGTTGCTTTATCAACAAAATACCATAATGAATAGAATTACTAGGCATTAATGCGTATGGTTATCCGAGATAACGGGTGGAAATGCATTGTTTTAGTAATAGAAAGGCCAAATAAACAATTAGTACATGGTAACGCGTATGGTAACGCGTGGTAACGCATGGTAACGCCTGGAAATGTGTTGTGTTGGTAATTAGAAAAACCATATGATAAAACAATTAGTATAGCAACGCATATGCATTGTAATGCGTGGTAACACGTTGCTTCATTAATTTATATTTCAAAAGCCATATTAAAGGTGATCTACAGTCCGATCTGCGCATGTGCACAAATGAGCCCACTTTTTATGATGAAAACAGTTTAACTATGTTTTGAGTTCTTGAAAAGCCTGATTGTTGTTTCTTGATCATTTATTATACTCTAGAAGCTTGAAAATATAAATAGTTGTCGAATAAAGCTCAATATTTTGGACACAAAAAATCTAAACAAAGGCTTTGCTTACATACGGACTGTAGATCACCTTTAGACGTTAGATTATGGTAACCTGAATAAAATAAAACTTTGACCCCACCAAGTAATCAAAAATTAATTAAAAAATGCTTATAGTTTCACCAACATTCAATTATCCATTAACTTGAGTAACTAAAGTATTAATTCATGTGAAGTTATAGGACTTTCTCTAAGAACTAAGCAAGGTTAGTTCTCTAAGTTAACGGACCGATCCAAGAATGTACTTGACCGCCCCCCCCCCCAACCCCAACCAACCCACCCGGCTAGCGCTCAAAAGAAGACTTGATATGGTACCATTAAACAACGTAGAGATCTTTGTATGGGCCTCACAATATTATCCAAATTATAGTGCATAGTAAGACGCTTATATCAATTCACAAAATTTCCTTAAATATTTAAACCTTGCTCCCACCCCCCATGGGAATTAAATTCTCCACCTCGCCCCCCTTCTATTGTGCTGCAGATAACATGATTTCAAATAACTTCCCGCTGCTGTCATCTAAGTTTTCTTAATTTCTAATATTATCATCTACCAAATATATACTGATACTTTTTGGAATCACTCCCCATTCCTTTTATATCTCCCCCCCCCCCTGGGCAACTTCACGATACTGTACTATTCTACATGTGAACAACAGCCCAAATAGTATCATCTACAGTGACTAATACACATGCACACAAGGTTATTTCAAAAAAAATTCCAGATGCTTTTAACAAAGTCTTATCAATTTTTAAGACAATCGTCCACAAAATATATTGAGACTATTTAAATCAATCCCCTCCCCCCTTCAGTTTCAATGTTGAAACCTACTGTACTTATCCAAAACGAACATAAGGTGACACTAGCACCGCAACTGTGTCACTGGCAGTAATTGAAATTTAACATATGATGTTGGATTTAAACTATATTGTAGTGCCTAACAACTTTGAAAACGGGGGAGGGGGTTTGTCTCAAATATTTTGTGGACGATTGTAGAGAAGCTATATCCAGTCTACTATTAGATCAGTGGTTTAAACCCTTCCATCATGAAATACAAAGCGATTGCACCGCAGGCTCATTTCATATCGGTCCGTATTACTCCGCGAGTATTTGCAATAGAAATACGAAAATACAAAAAAAAAATCGGCTTGAAAAGTTCTATGAAATCGAGCAATGTAAAATAGCCATAAATAATAAACTAGCCTCGAACAGCGTAAACTAACCATACCATACTATTGACCCCCCGTTCGAAAGGTTATTTTATGAGGATTTCAACTGTGGTTTTCGCTTTAAAGGCGGGTAAGTACTTGCGAGATATTTTAAATTTCCTCCTCTCCAAAGTCGGAATATGTAATATGACCGGATGACAATGAGTTAAGCAAGCACGATTCAAGCGCTAGTGTGACTAATGCGCTTGAAAAATGATCTCAAAACACAGAATATATTCTCTATTCTGTGGTAGAATCATAGAAGATACAATTATTTCTTTTGCTTATTTTCGACCGAACGGTTGCGACTTTACGAAACTTTTATTTATTCCCTTTTACGAAATTTTGCGAACCTTTTAATATATATTTAAATGAAAAGACTGATTTCATCATTTTTTACATTTTTATTGATTTATATTCATGGAGATCTCTCGATTGCTGCCAGTTTTTTTCAGAAATATTGAAATGCGTCCGAAATATGACAAAAAATGTTATAACTACTTATTCTTTTGCCGCGAAAGTGGCAATTGTAATCGACAATATGTGGCTTGATGTGATACGCGATACTGGATGTGTGACCTTCAACCTCGCTTGTGTCTTGGTGGAGCACGACAGATCTTTTACTGCACGATCTAAATCGGCCAAACGAAAATGCAGTAACTGCATTTTCGTTTTTACTGCATTTTCGATTGGCCGATTTAAGGCCCTGTCACACTATTGCGTATAAGAGAAACGTATGAGAAGCCTATGAAAATTAATTAATTCGCGTTTTTTATTTAGTGCCATACTTTTCGAGTTATAGGCATCTGTTCTGCCGCTCTCCCAAAATTTAGATGAGTCAACTTGTCTGCTTTATATCAAAGCAAATACAATACCTGTCAAAAACGCGAACACGGTTAGTTGTTCTTTGATCATTTGAGATAGGAAATATTATGTTTCGCAAGCCTTTGAGGCCAAATCAGAAGCGTTCTAATCTCGTGGCGCAAAGGCCGTCATATTTTCAAAAGCAACCCGTAGCAAGTACAGTTTTTAAAAATGTAGAATTTTTGGCAAATCGTTACCTACAGTAACGATTTATCGCTGCGCATGCAAAATTTGAAGGGGAAAACTTGAAAATTGAGCGCGGTGAGCCGTTTTGGTGAAATGGGTTTCCATCATGTGAAGTAACCTTAACCCTGTATTCTGTTGCTTCACTCTAAATACATTTGAGGACTTCACATTTACGTATTTTAAACAACAACAGAAATGTTGTTCTCTTTTATGCTACAAAAGCTAGTTGTTATTGGTATTGTAGTTGTTACAGTTTTTCAGTATATTGGCATCACCCGCATGCAATTTAGGTGCTTTAATAGGGTTCTCATCTCTGCAAACTGGGCAAAATTTTGAAAGTATTTTATTCAATAAAAGCTACATTGCATGGATTGTGCAATTCCAAGTTTGAAATTTCATATCTTGCGTTTTGAAAAGAATGTTTTGATTGTGAGGTGTCAAGGTCACCGCCGGAGCTCCAAACTAGGCAAAATTTTGAAAGTATTTTATTCAATAAAAACTACTGCATCCTACAATCTACATGTACTAATCGTTTAGGAAAATACTGTAAAAATAATTATTTAGGTAAAATATGCAATACATTGGTTTAATATATATTTCGCTGACTTTCAAGCTCAGTCTCATTTGGGTATGATATGCATGCCTGTTTATTTGAGAAACTATACTATACTAATGCGTATACCTGCTACATAAAACTATATATAATTATATTTATCAAATTACAGTATAAATCCAAGTAATAATTGTTGCTTGTTTGTGTTCACCGTCACTTTTCTGCAGATTTTCTGCCATAAGTATAAAATAAAGCTTTAGAGTCGGTCACTTCTGTGTAATGTACTGGAACCATTGGAATTGTTACATATTTCTCAATTTCGATTCCTGCTTCGATCATTGCCTCTTTCACCACTTTCTCAGTTATGGGAAACTTATAAAACTTTTCTTCGCCGACAAAATAAAACGTTCTTTCTAGCACGCCGTTCATAAAGAGTAATTTGCAAAGTTCTGCGACGACTTTCTTGTAGTGCACCTCAGACGACACACATTCCTCCAGACCGACAAACTGGTGGACACGTCATCAAATGGTTTGGCAACATCATCACTATCAAGTTGGACCATTGGAGCTTTGTTCACATCACATGGGACAATGGATTTGATTTTTCGTTTCAGTTCATCAGCGCGATTTAGTACACAGTCGAGCTTCCCTTTGTCTGCGGAGGTTTCACTTCTCTCATCTACGATGCTACGTCCTTATTCGAGCCGGTTCAAGAACAGCGATTTCAATTAAAGGCATCCAGTCGTGGGCGTCTGGGTCGCCAGCAGTCCACGACCTCACGGCTTGTCTATTCGCTTCTGTATACTCGGAAAACACAATATGATCCACTTTTGGGCAAGCAAAAACAAGGTTGGTTATAGAAGGTCCACCACCAACTCGAGATATCGCACGTCTGTGTCTGTTGGTGCCTTAAAGCTAGACCAAAAATCGTGAAATATTTTTATAAACGGCGACACTGATTGATCCTCACTTTCGTCCCCTTTGAAGTTTTTATAAAACTTTTCGAGGAAGGTTTTTGGGTCAAAATAGCTATGGTAATCTTCTGGGCTACACATGCACACAGCACATAATGCTGTGCGCTCATATACAAATAAATCATTGTCTTGACTGCATCATTTCCTGCAATAATATACGCTTCCGGAGGAAAATATGTCATCTTGGTATTAACCTGAAATTCTTCGTATGTGTGTGTAAATCAACTCCTTAATCCCTTTATCATGCACTTTTCAGGACGAAAAGCAACAAAAATTTGTTAAAAGAAGCAAATTTCAGGCAAAATAAAGCAAAATATTTCGTATTCACTCATACATTTTCCTGTCCGGAAAATTTTTTTTGATATGTGCGGAAAAATTTTTTTGGCGACCTCCCCCCCGCTCGCCAACATTTTGGGGAAAAATATTAATGTTCAGTTTGCCTGTTCGGGCAAACTATACTGTGCCCCCCAAACAAGATTAGGCCTATACGCTCATGATTTAAATCTTATTTAGACCATACTGAAAACCTTTATATATTGACTTTGAACAAACTAAAAGATTATCTTACCAGTAATTGTTCATGTACAGATACCATCACTTGAATAATTTACCCAAATTTTTATATAACAAATAATAATAAAACTATTATTTAACAAATAATCACGTTCACCAACACAACACAAGAAATTCATTAAAACTACATATAGGTCTCATCAAAGAACAAACTAAGTTAAGTATTCTATTTCTAATAAAGGAATTGATATATGCATGGAATAATCTTGATATAAAACTAAAAAGTGCAGTTTCATGTTCTATTTTTAAAAAAGTAATAAAAAATTACTAGACTCCTAGGTCTACCTACTCACTATGTACACATACATTTAGTAATATTTTGTTAATAAATGGGCAATATATATCGGTTAATAAGTAAAGATTAATGTTAAGGGCATGCATGGTTAGTATAGTTAAGGTTAATATTACACAACTAAAACTACCCAAATTCCAGTACAAATAGTTGCTCCATGTACCAAACTGTATACCATTTATGGTAATATAATGTAAAATGTCAAAATACTTATTATAGATATAATCTTGTATATATATTTAAAAAATTCATTAAGAATTTACGAGGAAAATACAAAACAAACGAATGTTTAATCAATGTTTGTAAATCGGATAAAGATTTGTCCTGATTTACATAAACTTCAGCTTTGATTTTCTCGGCTTGGACAATGTTTATTATTTTAAATTATTTCGCCAATGAACTCACAAGATGGATCATTTTTTAAGTACGATAAAACATTCGCATTTGATCTATATCTGATATACAAACTCTCGCCTTCGGCTCGAGTTTGTATATCAGATACAGACGGCTGCTCATGTTTTATCTAGTACGTCAGCCTAGTCCCAGTCGTTCTGAAGCAAGCGCGAGAAAAAACGTGGATGTAGTACAAGACTGGGACCTAGGTGTGACGTCACCGCTAAAGGTTCTTCAGAACGCCTAGCAGATTTCAGTATTTTTAATATGGCGAAAAATTTATATATACAAATAACCTTGTAAATACGACAATGTTCGTTGACCATGTTCGATGTCTACATAACCAAATTCAAACTGTACTAAAAATGTGCTCAATTAAAAAAAAATTATACACAAATATATAATCGTTGATGTTATTTATATGTTCGCAAGTTGTGATCAACACTAGACCATATTGGTATACACAACTACGCTTTCTACTTGACAAGTTTAAGTAGCTGAGGAGATTGGAAATATTTGCCTGACATGACTGTGTTGTCAAAACATTTTTAGTCGGAGACTCGGCATAATTTTCAAGCTTCTAGATAGCATTTAATATGGCTTTATATTTTAGTAAACACGAGTCAGATTTAGTAGCCTTAGAAACGTAGCCTATTTCATTGTTCCGACAGCATTAGAGCAAAACTATGACTTAATTATTAGGCAAAGGAAATTTCCATAACATTTTCTATTTACGAATGCGGCATGCTTGGTAACCAGGTCAGGGACCACTTTTTTGAAATCAGGGACCATTTTACCGAAATCTGGTAGGCTCTCTCGCTGAAGCGTTCCGCACAGCATTCCCAGGCATAAATTTAAATATGTCAAAGCAGCGAATAGAGAGAGAGAGCCTGGGACTAGGCTGCTAGTACGTATGATTTTTGGATTTTGTACAAAACCCAAAAACGGTACTATTAAATTCAGAAAAAAAATTTTGTACCGGCGATTTTTTATGTAACATGAAATGATTACGCAGAAAATGCCACCATGTACAAAAGCTGCAGCAAAATGGGCAGCAAAATAGAAAACGAGTGCAACAACAGTCTTTTTAAATATCAAAAAATCTTTTCATAAATCTGTTCAAAAAGTCATTTCAAAAATCATAAGATGAAAATCAATGCCCACTGCCCAGCATAATGCAGGTAATTAAATACACCATCACAAAATAAAATTTTAAAACATTTACTAAGAACGAACGTTTCGTCCATGGCTCTTTCATGCAAACTATGCATTATGCTGGGCACATTGCCATTTTCATCATATATATACAGTTATACGATTCCCGCCTTGTTCATGGCTACCAGAAATTCATCGCTACCAGAATGCTTAAATTAACGCGATCTTTTTGTGTCAAGACAGCATCTTTCTAATTTAAAACCTATAAATTAATTGTATAGATCAACGAATTAAGAGGGAAAACTTGTTGATAATTTAGAACTTGCCAGCTAGTGCTATGAAAATGCCGGTGACAGCCGGCTGCTATTTTAAACCCTGGGTATATTATATTACTGCATTAGACATTAGGTTGCATTAGCCTGGATTGGAACTGAATCAAACAGCACTAGACTGCACAAGCTGCACTAAATGCATTATACTGGATTAGACTGCTCTATATACTATAGACATCACTCGTCTGATTTGAATATAGCTGCACTAGCTAGGCAGCTAGCTAGCCTGTATTAGATTCCTTGTGTCTAACTTCATTACATAGAATTAAACTGCATTTAGCTTGTATTAGACTGAACCAGTTAACCCATATTAGCCTATATAGGTGCCTAAAAATCTTGATATATTTTACTTGAATCATGCTGTAGTTTTTTACTTGTATATGAATACTAGTGATTCCTTTATCTCTCCAAGGTATTTTCCATCTTTGGCAATTGCCAATTGTTCGATGAATTCAAGTGTCACCTCTAACACATGGTTATTTGCACTCTTACGAAAATTCTCAGTGTTTGTCAAAAAGTCGAGGAGGAGATTTCCTTCCACTGAATCCGCATTTAAAACTTCAGTAACATCAACAAACAATTTCTGGCAATTAATCTCATGCTTCCAACCACATTTTTCAGCCATCTTAATCAGTTCCTCAGATGTCTGGGCAAGTGTGGATGCTTTATTAGAAAGTTCATCTTGTTTCATTAGGACAGTATTACAGATGCTTTCATTGTCGTTCATCAGGCACACTAAACACCCCATCTCGGTCAGTTGATTCTCTAAACAATACAATACAGTTTGTTCCAGGTCTACATAATATAAACTGTGCATGAAATGCACGATATCAAACGACACGGGATCTTCTTTACTTTCTTGATATTCCTGAAACGTCTGTTGTCTGACTTCATACCTTGATGAGACGACGTCGCCGAATTTCGCAATATTTTCTTTGTACTTATTGCTTGATTGCAGATTCGGCTCAATGGCTCGGTTAAAAATACTGATGTGGCTCCACTGTTGTTGCTTTTGCAACTCTTGCCGGACGATGTTAACAATTTCTATATCGACTTCCCCAGTACCACTTCCAACGCTCAGAATACTGAACTGAGATCGTTGTTGGATGTCAAATGAAGACATTATCTTTTGGACAACCGAGGGCAGGCAGCGTTGGAAGGTCTTGACATTCTCATAATGCTGGTTTGATTTCGTTTTAAACACGTTAAAGCTTTTAAGGAAACGTTCTCCTATAAGCATGTTCGCCATGTTGTCTCGTGAGGTAGGAACACAAATAAAATGGAGTGGTAGGCTTGGGCGGTTTTGATTAAAATAAAAATAGGTACGTTGTAACGTACATGGTGTCTACTGGATCAAAAACAAAGAATGTCATTGACGTCCGGTTTATATTTACATTTCCGACTTTCGAGTGGAGAAGATTAAAATATCAGAGTATTTACCCACACTTTAAAACGAAAACCACCGTTGAAATCCTCATAAAACAACCTTTCGAACGGTGGGTCAAATGCCATCATAACTTACACAAACCAAAACAATCGTATATTTACTCACCGCTTGGCCAAACATTTTGTACTTCATATGGAGAAAAAATTGAATACTTTCAAACTGACTCTCCAGACTAAGTCAATAGGAGTGAAATACTCCTTCTATTCAAGTGCTTTCGTGTAGAAAGTTTCGTTTGAATTATGGCGGACTAGAAATATTTATTTTGAATTTTTCAGAATATCGGGTAGAATATCACGTGTAAAGGGTAATGAAGGGGTAATATGACCTTTAGTATGGATTTCCGACGTTTCCCGAGTGCCAGAATATAAACATCGCATTGTTTCAATATGTCAAGGTGGTCAAGCTGTATTTCCGGTCGAAGCTCTCGTGTAAAATTTAGACATGTCCTGAATACAGAAATAAAAGTTACAAATCTGCAGATACAAACTTGAAAATAACACTCTACATAGTGTCTTGGATTGTGATTCGAACAAGAATATTACGAAAATGATAGGCTGACGGGGGCCAAACATAAGTTCGGCGAAAGGTATGGCTTAGTTATACATTGTCGTACATTAATTGTTTACATTGTTCGAGTGTATTGTTCGAGTATGGCTAGTTTATATTTTATGGCTATTTTACATAGTTCGAGTATATAAAGTCTTTCAAGCGGAATTTTTTGGTGATATTTTCGTATTTCGGTTACAAATACTCGCGGAGTTCTTTATAATAACGTCGGAAATCTCAAGGCCGGACGGCATTGATAAAAGCATTTATCGTATTAAACAGTTCGGAAACTTGTTAAGACCCGTCAGAAAATTGTCAATGTTGTCGGAAATTGAATTTGTCGACGGGGGGCGGGGGTGAAGATTTAAAATGTTGTCGTCCGGAAAAATTTTTGGTTTGTCGGAAAAATTTTTCGGTTTGTCGAAAAAAATTTTCGGTTTATCGGAAAAGTACTGCTCTTGCCCCCCCCAAAAAAAACATGGATCCCACGGCGCCACTGCTTTAACCTAACCAAAGAGCCTGTTCGCAGGAGAAGTGAACCGTCCACTCTATATAATGATATAACGATATAACGTACGTTCTAAACTTCTTGTCGACAGTATATGGCGACTATACTGTTCCATTAGACGCCAAAAAAACGGTAAACCGTCCGACTTAGAACCGGTTAAATATATATATATATATATATATATATATATATATATATATATATATATATATATATATATATATATATATATATATAATACCTTATTAAATTCTAATCGTTTAATTGGCTGTTTATGGTCACGTGATATTGAACAGAAAATTCCATTTCCCAAGAGTGCAATGGAACACGTTCCATTGCACTCTCCGCGAGTGCAATGGAAAAAAACGTATAGTACAATTGCACTCTTTGTGTTTTCGATAAATTGCATCCCTCAAAATGCTTCTCATACGAATCTATTAGTTTATTTTGGTATTATATAAAACAAATAATGAATGTTTCTTCGTGCAATGGTAAGAATATTTTCATTCGGTGAAAGATGGAATATTCCATTCAACTCGGCTGTCGCCTCGTTGAATGGAACATTGCATCTTCACCTCATGAAAATATTCTTACCATTGCACTCATAAACATTCATTATTTGTATAATATATATATATATATATATATATATATATATATATATATATATATATATATATATATATATATATATATATATATATATATATATATATATATATATATATATATATATATATATATACTGTTAGGGCGATCAGTGGATAACATGCAGCCTATAGACCTAGGCCTTCTAGTCTTATTTATATATTTTTAATATTCAGCGCTTTTTCACATGAAAAGACTGGGACTAGGTGATTTGGGGGCGGGGCGGAGGAAGCAAGCCTAGAAGGCCTAGTGGATTTCCCAACAACAAGGCCAAAACTGCCCTGAAACTGCCCTGGTTGCGAAATGCCCAATTATTGCGTTCTCAAACAGAATTATTTGCAACTTAACGGCGAATTTAAACCGATACAGGTAAAATAAACTCATTTATACTATAAACTTACTATTTTTATTTGTATGCACGTCTAGAAAATCGGGGTTTTAATCATAAAGTTCGAAGCAACACTATTATTTAATGTGTTGACAAGGTGTAGCGAAAGCACAAAATGAGTCAAAATATATACCAAAAGTAGAATCTTTCATGAAATTTTGTCTTATACACAACTACATTAATATATATTTTCTCAATTTTGGCAAGAAGCAGTCTTGTGTTTGTAAAATATACAAAATAAAACGGAACATATATTATTAGCCCGTACAGTACTGTATATAAAAACGACATTGTTTACAAATGGTATATCCGTAATATTGGAACAATAATTTCAAAATCCTCATTCCCAATTCGCAAATATAGTTATTCAAAGCAAAACAGTAGATTGTCTTCCGAATAAAAGAATTATTATTTTGTGCCGTTTCGCTACACCTTGTCAACATATATAAATAGTGTTGCTTCAAACTTTATGATAAAAACCCCGATTTTCTAGACGTGTATACAAATAAAAATAGTAAGTTTATGCTATAAATGAGTTTATTTTACCTGTATCGGTTTAAATTCGCCGTTAAGTTGCAAATAATTCTGTTTGAGAACGCAATAATTCGGCATTTCGCAATCAGGGCAGTTTCAGGGCAGTTTTGGCTTTGTTGTTGGGAAATCCACTAGGCCTTCTATTTTTCCGCTTGCGTCAGGCTTGTGTCCTTCCTCCGCCCCGTCCCCAAATCACCTAGTCCCAGTTTTTTCATGTGAAAAAGCGCTGAATATTAAAAATATATAAATAAAAATAGAAGGCTTAGGTCTAGGCTGGATAACATGATATTTTTGTAAAAGTTTGTAACTGATACCGTACCGAGACGGTACCGTTTCGGCCTTATGGGCCTCATCAGTGTAGCGCTGATGAGCAGGATGAAAGTACCTGCTATTTACAGTTACCTTTGATGCCTCACGATTGTGGGACATCATATATATATATATTAAGGTGAAAATGTTCTCGAGTGTGTATTATATAATTTCCATACACACTCGAGAACATTTTCACCTTAACATATTACGGAGTGTACAATTACACAACTCATATATATATACATATATATATATATATATATATATATATATATATATATATATATATATATATATATATATATATATATATATATATATATATATATATAATACCTTATTCAATTCTAATCGTTTAATTGGCTGTTTATGGTCACGTGATATTGAACAGAAAATTCCATTTCCCAAGAGTGCAATGGAACACGTTCCATTGCACTCTCCGCGAGTGCAATGGAAAAAAACGTATAGTACAATTGCACTCTTTGTGCTTTCGATAAATTGCATCCCTCAAAATGCTTCTCATACGAATCTATTAGTCTATTTTGGTATTATATAAAACAAATAATGAATATGTTTCTTCGTGCAATGGTAAGAATATTTTCATTCGGTGAAAGATGGAATATTCCATTCAACTCTGCTGTCGCCTCGTTGAATGGAACATTGCATCTTCACCTCATGAAAATATTCTTACCATTGCACTCATAAACATTCATTATTTGTATAATATATATATATATATATATATATATATATATATATATATATATATATATATATATATATATATATATATATATATATATATATATATATACTGTTAGGGCGATCAGTGGATAACATACAGCCTAGACCTAGGCCTTCTACTCTTATTTATATATTTTTAATATTCAGCGCTTTTTCACATGAAAAGACTGGGACTAGGTGATTTGAGGACGGGGCGGAGGAAGCATGCCTAGAAGGCCTGGTGGATTTCCCAACAACAAGGCCAAAACTGCCCTGAAACTGCCCTGGTTGCGAACATATATATATATATATATATATTTAACCGGTTCTAAGTCGGACGGTTTACCGTTTTTTTGGCGTTTATACACTAATTACACTAATTACAATAACATATATATATATATATATATATATATATTTATATATATGTGTGTAATTAGCGTGTTGGGTATGAGAAACGAGATTGCGTGGGAAAACTCTAAAGTAATTACCACAAATAATCGCTATGGTCAAAGACTTTGCCTAGAAGCGCGGCATATAAATATGAGTGATCATGCTTTGAATAGCGATAACGGTGCCTATTTGCCAGAGGAAAATATGCATCTTATGGGCAGGTGACGTCATCCCTTGGGTATTTAAGAAACCAAGATTGCAATTTTAGATCACCCCTAGTCCCTGGATAAAGACACTAGACTGGAGTGTCGAAACGTTGGGTCTTGATTACAATTCGACTGGGCTTTGTAATAATTTATTTAAACCAGAGTAGCGAGCGAAACATATGATTGACATACCTGGTTGCAGTGAACGAACAAACTTTATACCATCCAAATGTCTTTCACTGCAGTATGTCCATTTAATATTCTGTCTTCAAAATAGAAAATTGAAGTTTGTTTCGTCCTTTATTACACGACATAACGATGAAATATTGTATACATAAGTTCATAATCTTGACAGAATTCCTGGAGTTGCTAAATATCTTTGTACAAAGCCAGAAAGAAAATACGCTTTAGCCAATAATCTATGAAACTTAAAAATCGTGTTGCTCATTGTTTACATCAAATCTGAATTCACATATCTCAAGAGGAGGCGGAAGTGACCTATCCTGTATAATTTTCACTATGGCGAGCGAGCGACTGGTTCAGA